TAATTGTAAAATATTAGAATTAAAAATAAGTAAACAATGTTGATTTGTGCGTGGTGCTTATAACTAACTTTAAATTTCACATTTAACTCATTAATTTTAAAGCATGTCGTAAATTAAGTTTAATCTAGAAATTCAACAACGTATCGTTTATCATTCAGTTTTATTGGATCTTTTTTCTATTATTTTTCTCCGGCTATTATTATTTTTTCTCCGACTTTTCTATTATTTTTCTTCGAAGTGTTCATTTTAAAACTAAGATTTACCATAATGTTCCACCGTTATTTCTGTTCAAATGAATGCACAAAAAAACTTAGCATACTATTTTAAAAACGTGTAAATGTAACTAAATTTACAACTGAGGATTTTTTGTGAACTTTTCGATAATATATATTCAGCTGGAGGTAGAAATTAGTAGAATATACGACTTGATGTTCCAACAAAGCTGAAAAACTATTTCATTCTATAGGTATTGGTGGTTGTAGAACAAATATTTATAACCCACCATTTTCCATGTTTTCGTTTTGAAATTCCTAGTATGGTTTAATTACATTTATTTAGTTATTGTTAGGTTTGATGAGTGAAATTTGGCAGCTATTTTGGCCAGTGGTTACAGTCCACAGAGTGCCAAGATTACAGCCGTGCGGTGCGGGTTTGGTCCCAGCTACCTGCGACAATTTCTGGTTAGAATCGGCGAGGAGGCCGGGCGGTAAGCAAAGCAAAATTGGAGCCCGAGCAGCGAGTTGCGTGTTCGAAACCGCAAATAGCTGTGAACGTTCTGCGATGTTAAGAATTTCCGACCGGCCTACGGCCTGATAAATGCTGAAACTAACGCTGAACTATGCTTAAAATGAAATTCGGGCAAAAAATATTCGAAAGGAGCAGATGCATTACACATTTAATTTTTCATATTAAAACCGGTACGATAAGAATTAAGTACCGTGCAGATGTACAAAGCTCGTGATATCGTAAGTAGTTGCTGTACTAAAAATCAAATAAGCATCAAATATACTAAAGTTACGTGTGTATGCCAGATGTTATTCATTATTCGGTACCAAGAGCATTAACGATTCCTTGCTGTTAACAAATGTTAGATAAGTTATTTTTTAGATTAATTATGACACATGCAGTGCATATATAAGCACATAGGAATCTCTATTACTCGTACAATGTACCAACAATGTAATATACATTGTTGGTACATACATAACATACATTATACATAATACAACTACATGTTAACTTAAATGTAGTATTCATTTCCATCCTTCTACTGCGAACCGCTCCACTATGATCATGCGTGATAGACTTTTGTCCAATTTCTCAATGCTAATTGAAAGTTACGCAAGTACATTACCAAATTCGGCCAATTGGATTTGTTAAAATCTTGTGAAGAATCCCAATATCAGATGTGATCAATTAAATTTTGTCACTTCTACCGCTACAGATTTATCGAGGTTTAATATTCTTCCAGATGAATGTGTACCACTTTGGTCTTCAATTTCACTTCTTTCAAAATGCTATTTCCGGCATGCGGTGTTGACGTGACTAGTAATTAGTAGTATAGTATTTGTTCAGAGGACAAAGTTATTAGGTGCAAGTACCGCGAAATTAAATTCGATAGTTCCAGTAACTACATTTTCCAGGCAGAATGAAAACTGCTGGAAATTTATTGCAGGCAAGTCGAAAAATGGGCAAAAATATTGACCATTTGAGTTAGATGTAGATGTCGTAGATTTATAGTAAGCTTCACTTTATTTTTAAACAATATCCTTATGCCAGTTATCTCACGGGTAGGCCCGGTAGCCTTTGCTTGTGTTTCGCATAGCTACGACGCCCGCCATCCTATATCTGTCGCTTCGACTTACCGTTTACGTTATATGGATTTGAGAGTTTTAAACTTTAAGCCTTATAGTCTTCTTCGTAACTACATATGCCCCAAATTTAAGAGATAGTTTTCAATGATATTTTAACCTGGTTTTCAAGATTTTGACTAAGTACCAAGCTTTGGTCACAACACACAATGACGACTTCATAGTCGCCTTACGCTCACACAGTTAACAGTTACGGTCCGGTCGGGTTGGCCCTTCCTCAACACTAGTCAACAGTCAACTTCAACTTTTCAAGCCGCCGAGCAGACTATACTTTAAATTTTCAATGATATATCTTTGAAAATTAATTTATATCATATAAATATTGTCAATATAATATATTTAATTTTGAATTTATTGTTTATATATTGTACTTGTACTTCTTGAGGTAAAAACTTAGTAGCCTATTACTATTAGGATTTAGGAGAAGAATCAGAGCCTCAGAAGATTGTGTTTTTAACCAGCAATCGTTAATATTCAAAGTGATTTCAAACTAGAAGGTGTGGAATTAATTTTTCGAATTGGTAGCATTTCTGTGGAGTGTGGTGAGTGGCGACTGGCGACTAATGATTAGACTAATGTGTTTCATTGATATTTGATTCAGATGATTCTGTTGATTCATCACTGTTTAAATCTTACTAACTTGAAGTATTCATCAATCATCATTATACAGCATAATACAGAAATATAGTTCCTCCCTTCCTGGCGGGCCTGGCCTTATACCTTTGAACTTTTGCTGTTTGGTGGGACTGTGGTCTGTGCCCTGTGCCTGTGGGGCACTGGGGTCTGGCTGCTCTGGCATGACGGGGGCCATGGGGGCGATGATGGGGCCATCCTGGCCATGGCCCAATGCCCATTGCCCAGGGCCCCAGGGGCAGGCCATGAGGACCATAAGCCATTGGCATTGGGATTTGGGGCTGGGCATGGCCCGCATGGGCAATGAGCATCTACATTTAAAGTTATGTGGGGCTATAAAGTTAGGTACCGTTACTACCGTACCATAGAATGCTGCTGTACCTAGGTAGCTCTGGTGCTACTGTTAGTACTGTACGGTGTACCTAGCAGGCTAGCTCTGGTGCTGCTGTCATAGATTGTACCTAAGTTGTAACATACCTGCAATTGCAATAACCTGCTTTAAGGTTAAAAAATTATTGCCGCAATAATCAATGAACTAAGTTATGGGTTGTGGTTCAAAAAATTCAATTGGGGGCTGGGGCTGCGGGCTGCCAGGCAGGCCTGGGCTGTCAGGCAGGCCTGGGCTGTCAGGCAGGCCTGGGCTGTCAGGCAGGCCTGGGCTGTCAGCCTGTCATCGCTCTGCTTGTGAATGCTTATCAGCTTATGGCACATGATTCTTTTCTAAATTTTACCTTCAAAATTTATTTTGATAATGGCTAGGTTTAGATTTCAGAACTTCAAAAGAATTCGAAAAAATATGTAGCCTCAGTGTAGACAATGTAGGTTTAGAATTAGAGCCCCAAATTTCAAAACAACATAAAACATGTCTTTTTAGCTGAAACATTTTAGCAAACAAAAGCAGTTTTTGTTTTACTATCTTAATGGCATATGTAAAATTATAGGTGAAAATGTGAAATTGGCCTGGCTGCACAAAAAATTGCAAAATTGCACATCCTGCTATTCATGCACTGGAATTTATAGCTCATGTCATTCACTTATAGATTTTGACTGATTTGGAGTATTTTATCTTCAAAATTCTTGCTAAGCCTTATGCTAGTCACTAAAGAACAGAGAGCTCCAATTTCACAGAAACTAATCAGATTTTGTGTTTTATTATTGATTCTAAATTGTCATCTGATTGGAATTGGTTGGGGAGTTGTACTATGGATAGGCTAGACTGCAGGAACAAGTAGCCCAAGTTCCCAGACACACATGGCCTAGACCATATGGAAGGAGGGAAAAAAAAAGAGTAGGCTTTTTTATAACTAGGCCGATTCATGCATATAGCGATGTAGACCTTGCTAATTTCCAGGCTCAGGCTTGATCAATCTAGAGTACAGGAAATAATACTCATAGAATTCTTCTCAAGGTCTCAATTCTTATTGGCACTTTTTGTTAGCTACTTCACTGCCAGGGTAACAATATCATACGCTTTTTAACAAAATTGGATTAGGGCTTTTATTTCTATTGCAAAGTTGAATGAATTGCTGGTTTATTCTTGGGACTCAATGTTGAAATCAACATTCACTCATAATTGTAGTTGGAGACTGAAGGTCTATTTATAAACTTTAATTTTGGTCTCACAGGTTGGTGGTAGCAAGTCTTATTGATTTATCAATATATGTTGAGCCATAAATTATTGTGTATGAAGCAGACTATGCACTATGTGCATCACTCTAAGCATAGTCTGCTTAGAGTGATGGTTGATGAGTATATAAGTTGTGCCAAAATTGTGGAATTGCCAATTCTACGGAATTAGCAGCCAGTTTCCCAAATCTGTAGAATCAGTAATTCTATACCATAGGAATCTGGGGTTAGGTCAGTCAGCCAATTAGTTTTTTAGATAATTAAATATAAAGGAACTTGACCTAACCTTTTCTAACTCTGTCCATTTATGTTCTGACTCTAACTCTACTATCCAATTTTCTGAATCAGCAACAAAATGCTGATTCTACAGATTTCGCAAACTGGCTACCAATTTCATAGAATTGGCAATAGGTACCACAATTTTGGTGCAACATAGGTATATATTTAAGATCAAAGTAGCCAGGTGATTTGATATTAATGACAATCTTCAATCCTCCCTAGACAGCAGTTCATGATCAATAAAGATGAGGCCTGATTAGTCAATGGTTATGATGCCTTTCTATTCCAGTGAACAGCTTCCAGTGAAGCCTATCAACACTCCATACTGTAATTATACATTTAGAAATCTCCTTGAATTGCTACTCAAGCTAGCTGCAAAGTTAATACTGTAAACATTAATGAAGTTTTTTTCAGGTTCCTGCAGTCTAGATGATAGAGGAACAAAGTATCAAGACCAAGACACTGTCAAAACAAGCCGCACTTCTGCCTGCACGTGAAGAGAGCTGATCAAGTGTTGAATGCAGCAAATGATGCAGCATTCCAGTGGATCAGCACTAGCACCTTCACGCTCCACAGTTTACATTTCAAATCTTCCCTTCTCCCTCACCAATCAAGACCTCCATCAAATATTTGACAAATTTGGAAAGCTCATTAAGTAAGTTAACTTGCATGGGATTGTTTTTCTATTAGTTTAACCCATTTGTAGGTAAGTGACTACATATGGTCACTTCAATTCTCTGCTCAAAAAGACTCGCCATGGCCTCCAGTCTGTGTTTGAGGCAGTATTATCATGCCTTTGCCATTCACCATTTATCTGACCATCATTCCGTACATAGCATTAATCCCTACCATGCTAGATAATTAAAATGTGAGCATTCACATTGAATTTTTTACCTGAACAATGATACTGATGCTCAGTCTGCATTTTTTTAAAAAAGATGGAAGCACCGTCAAGTAGGGTGATTTTGGCCACCACTACAACAGAAACAAATGGCAGCAAAACAAAATAATAAATGTTGGCCTAAGTCACCCCAGTCACTTTGGCCAACGTTTATTATTTTGTTTTGCTGCCATTTGTTTCTGTTGTAGTGGTGGCCAAAATCACCCCACTTGACGGTAACAATATCTTCAATTAATCAATTTAACTGAACAAAATTGACTCAAATTGATGTAGAGAAGCTACTCTTAAGATTCAAATGTTTCAATTTGAATAATATTAATTATTTGCTGTGAAATGACTGTATTTAATAGCTTCCCTAACTGTGAATTTCTCCTTCAAAATGCTATGCCCAATTTAGGAAAATTCGCACTAGAAAATATATATTATGATTGTTCATACTCTCTCAGACTGGTTTCAGAAACATGAATTTCTTGATGTTTTTCTACTTGCATGTGAAAGAGTTAATGTCAACTAATTATTACATACACAAATACGATTCTGTACTGAACTGTCAATGTGCTATTTTCTATCCGGGGCTTTTTTTTAACACAGAGCTTGATTCTTGGTGCCATAGACTTGAGCTCTGAGTACAAGATTTTTGTTAGAAATTACTACTGTGAGGCTAGGATCAACAGCTTATGCAACATGGTACTATTTGCTTCTTCGCTTCTTCTAAAAAATGTCTCCAAATAAGGGAAAATTTCAGACATACTGACAAATACTGTAATTACCTAAATGATTTGTATTCCTTTCAGTTCAATTAATTTTTTTTCTCCACTCTCTTTATATGCCATGGTGCCAGTGTCCCTAAAGTGGGTCAAATCTCTTGCATTTTAAAATGACCATGGCATGCAAACTCCCTCAATGAATTTCAAGTGTAATTTTATTACTCTCCAAATGTTTATGTAATGTTCATGTCTCTTCTGTGCAGGCTGCCTTTTAGATTAATTCCGTGAGTTTTTTTCTGATCAACTCTTTTAAGAGAGAAATGATGAATGATTCTTTATCTTCTTCATTCGCTGCTGAGCGGCAACTGGACTTGCTTGAGTTATCTGCAGGTGAAAATTTAGAGGGTTATAGTTCCGTCTCTGTGAATGGTGGTCAAGGGAATCATGATGAACTTTCAACGCTTGATGATAATAAGGAGCGATTGAGGAAAGTCCTATTGAAATCCAAGAAGAGTCAATCTCGACAGAAGAAGAAAGCTCTGACAAGGAATTTGAAGAGTTTCAGTGCAGCAGAACTTCAACAAAGTGTTGCAGACTTTGCCAGGGGAGCTGGTGTGGTGAATGATGCACCATGCCTCTGGACTTCTTTTGTCAATGATCCTTTACTCCAGACTAACATCCACCCGGAACAAAAACCATTATATGATGTGAAGCCCGAGCTACTCTTACCTACTTCTAATCGCACGGTGCATACGGATGAAATTTCTGTATGCATAATGGATGCAGGCAACTCAAGCTATAGGATGTCGGCCCATGACCTAGCTCTGATTAACGAAGGATTAGAGAAGTTGATGTACAAAGACTTAACTATGACTTCAAAACTGAAAATATGCAACAGTTTCTTATCTGAGACAAAACATGTGTGGGTGATTTGTATGACCCAATTTACCGCAAACTGGGTGATTCTTAAGGTAAGGGAAATAGAAGCTTCCAATGGGCGCAAACTTTGCGCTCATCTTGTTGAGGATCTCACTTTTATGACGTCAGTTACCATGTTGGTACCAAAAGAGTGTGGTTTTGTTGATGGATATGCTAGCCTGATGCGCTTTCTTAAAATCCATAACCCTAGCTTGTGTATTGGGATCACTGCAGAAATTCCGCTATCAGTCAAAAGCAGACTAGGTGCTCGAATAGAAATGCCCGTCAATGGAAATTATTCAGAAGTGAACAATAATCCTAATGTTGATCAGTTGGGGGCATCACCTCAAGACACGGATCAAGAGAACCCAGGTAACAGTGAGAGCTTAGAACAGCCTGTGCCTCCCTGTATTGACAGCAGCGAACTTCAAGTACCTCGTCGAGCTCGCTCTATAACCTTCTATGCTGATGACGTCTGGGTACAAGAATTACAACAGCTTGGCCATGGTCCTTTTCTAGGTCTGCGACGTTTACAGTACGTTCTGGGTGACAGAAACATGGTTCGATGTAGTGATCAAATGCTGCCGCAGCAACAATTACCTCATAATAAGGCCAATAACTTCAATAAGACAAGTAACAGTCGTGCAGGCGCTGGTCGTCGAAACAGGAAGAAGAGATCTAATGCAGCTACGGCTACTGCTGGCCGTATTGGCACTGACTCAGTTGCGACCATCCCTCAGACAACTATTACTACCTTAACTTCTTCTGCTACGACTAGTATCCCTTCTCCCTAGTAAAACATTTACTTACGTCAACCACTATAGTAAAGTATCTAAATTAATTTTTAAATATAGTGTTTTGATCAAATTTCTATGGTGTCAAAGCTCTATTGATGGAATTCAGGGACAGGGGTTGTCACTAGTACCTAGCAGTTGTTTGCATTCATATTTAGATTTAAATTAAAGAAGGTGCAATTGGGACCTCGCTGACAAGCCCGTAGCTAGTACCTACGAGTTGTTTGCATTATTATTTATGTATGAATAAATGAAGTGGAGATTTTGGCCTAATACCGAGCAGTTGTTTGCATTATTCTTTAGATGCAAATAAACTAGGTGAAAATTAAGGTTACTATGCACTTGGCTGTCGTTCACTTTTTTTGACGACTTGTTGAATTAATTTATTTCTATATTGTATCGCATTCAATTTCTTTTGTACAGGGATCGAAAGCAGTTTTGTTTTTTGAAAATTTGCTTGTTTGTATGCATACTGTTTGCATTTAATATGTACTGATGTATTTTTGCCTGTGCCTTTGAATTTCATTCAACTTGATTTATCGTGCTTGCCATCAGTATTACTGATTGTTCAGATGCTACCAGTCAAGCTCAGCTCACACGATACGAAAATGTCTCTTTGAACAGCCAGGTTATTACTAGCATTTAAGGCGGCTCACATGAATGAATATGAAGTGAGACTCGTTTGCATTTTTCATTTGGAGGTTGACAGGAAGGTTCTGTTTTTAACCTGAAAGTACTACGTAAAACGTGGGCATTAAAAACGTAGTGTACGGGTATATTTTTTGTGAACGATTCTTCTTGATCACTGATCATACTCTTGTGAGAGTAGTAGGGAAGCTGTTCTGAAAGTGTCGAATTATTCGGTAATAAACATGTCGTAACAGTAGTTCTTACCTTAATTTCTATGTTTTTTTTCACATTGATTTTGCTATATGATGAATCAGGTCATAGAATGTGTTATTGGTCACCAAGTTTTGAAGCAACAGTTTCTGTTACAACAGCGGTGTTTGCAAGCTTAAGTCCTGCCCATCGGTCGCGGCAAGTAGTAAAATTGTTTCAAGAACCTCTCTCTGAGTTGTATGACGGGTTAATAATTTTTCCAGGAGCTACTGAACGGCAAATTCTTTTTACTTTTCAGGTATTGTGTACTGGAATTTTTCTTCTCAAAATTTGAATTTTCACATTTCATTTAACGTGTAATAATGCTGTTCAGCAAAAATAATTCAGTTATTTCTGTTTTCGTGAGGTTTATTGCTTGGCTTTCATAGAGTAGCGATTTCTACTATTTGCCGAAAAAAAATAAAGGAAAGAATATTAATGTTCAGGTACTGAAGTTATCAATAAAATTATTTTTGCCTTGCGTGTATTGTGTTTTCTATCCCTTGGGCAATTGATGTGGTCAGTTCATTTAGATATCAAAAGACCCTATGAAGGTGAATTAATTGTTTATTTTTTCCGAGCAACTCTTACCGCTAATCGTTCGTTGGAAATCACTTATAAAATGTTTACAGAATTTGCACAGAAATTACCCGTTTAATTTATGCACATTTAAACAGGCTATGAGTTGAGCTCAGACATTTCATGATCGGCGCTTGACAATTTCCCCAGAAAACAGTTTAATTTCAAAGTTTTGATGAATTTTAGCCTGAGATCACTTTACGAGCTGGCTCCGTCATTAGAGACGAGTGTTGCTAGCTCCAGTTTTTTTAACCACTAGCGGGAATAAAAATTTGTTTTTACAGGTTAGCCCTGCGGACGTTTATGATAATTAATTTCAGATGAATTATTTGCTGAGGAATGCTCCCTTGTAATTATATAACTTAGCTGAGGAAAAGTTGAGTTAAGTAGAAAAATTTGAACAGACGGGGCTGTAATTCAAATCTGTTTTGATAATGCCACTTACGATTTGAACAGATCAGACTGAAATGTAGTAAAGATACGCGAAATTTACCCTTTATTTAAAATTAATGTAATGCGTCGCGTACTTCAAAACATGAATCATTTATTTTAATTGATTTGATGCTATTGAATGCGACTAACCTAGCATTTCCAAGGAGTTACCTTAGCAAATTATCGTAACACTTTGTAACCTTCAAACGCGATATTTGAAACATTATCATGACAATGTGTAACGTTCAAATGTGAATTTCTACCCCAGAGTGACGATCGTGCGGGACAAGGTGACACGCAAGAGCATGGGCACGGCGTTCCTCCTGTACCTGACACGGACGGAGGCCCTGGCATGCGTGTCTGCTGTCAACAAGACCGAGCTCATGGGCCGGACGCTTACAGCAGCAATGGCTAAGGACAACGGCAGGGCTGCCGAGTTCATCAAGAGGAAAGAATATCCCGATAAGTCCAGGTAAATTATTGACGTATTACGGTTAAAAGTTTAAAATTAATTGCTAAAGATTTGTAAAAGTTTTCAAAATTGTTCTCAAAAAAAATATTGTTTCGATTGTATATGTTAAGAAAGTTAGAAAGTCACTTAGATTCATTTTTATACCCATGCTTACTATATCAGAGTACGCATATGCATATCTACTGTGTAAGCTAATTCAATGCTAATTTGACTATGCTCTTACAGTATTTGTGTGCAGAAATATTTACTAAGGTTGATATTCCAAAAAAATATAAGTATTACTATTATTAATAATGTTTGACGGCTTATGTTCCATGCTCTCAGATGCTATGAATGCGGGGAATTGGGCCACCTTAGCTACTCTTGTCCTAAAAACGCTCTTGGTGCTCGGGAGCCTCCAAAGAAGAAACGCAAAATTAAGAAAGGAAAAATTCCAGTTTCAAAAGTTAATCGTACAGATAAGTCTAAAGTTAGTGAAAAGGATCAAGAAGATGGCGACGAGGACTCGGATGGGGATTTTGAAGACGAATCTTTGAGTGGAGCTATCCGCTACTCGCAAGAACTGAGAGAAGCGGAGCAGTTTTTGGCTGGGTCCCGGGAAGTAACTGCAGCTGCATGCAGCAAATCTTCTGTGATAAAGAAGCAAAGTTATAAGCCTTCGTCATACTTCAGTGATGAAGAAGAATTAGAGTAAATAATCTGTTAACGATACCCAAACTCCAAAGATGTTAATCTTGAATAGCTTATTACAAATTAATTAAAATATAACATTATTCGCCACTAATTACTCTCATCCCGGGTTTTTGACCCTAACAAACTACATGCATGGACTTTTTTTGCCTAACATTTCTACTACAAAAGCGAGTTGGCGACAAAGCATTTTGCCTGAGTTACTTGGCGCGCTACATCGTTGAACCGATACAGCCGCACAGTCAATCTTTCATAATGATGTAATTCATCAAAACCCAGGCAAATATCAGTAGTAAAATGAAATAAAAAATTTTTATGGAAATATTTAATTATTATTCAAACATTAGTTCCAAACAAGTACAACTTGTAGCACAAGCAATCAATAACTGGTAATTGTTTAAAGTGCTGAAAAGTGAAAATTTATTTTAACGTCTAAACTACTTGTTCACGCGTCTCGGACAAATTTACGGCCATACTTGCGGCCGGTCTCGCTGCCGGACTCTGTACCTGAAATATCTCCCAAAGTACTGAACGTGGCTCGATGAAACTTGGTAGAAATATTCATTATGGCCTAACGGTGATGTTAAGCTCGTGACATTTTTTTTTAATATCGCCTTCATTCGTGAGTTATATGACGAAACGTGCCGAAATTTGCAGTGTACCAGAGATTTCTTCTTAAATATTGAACAGATTTGAACGAAACTTTGCATATACAGGGTGCGCCACAGAAACTTACTTATTTGAAAGGTCAATAAAAACAAAAGTACTTCAGTTATTGTTTTAAATTTTTTTTTATTCGAGAAAACAGTATCTGAGTCTTGGAAGAAAAAGTTCCTCGATCATGTTCCTGTAACGAGCTCCATTAACGGCAACTGCGCGTTCGTTTTCTTAAAAAAATAAGGACCAATTATTCCCATTACCTACGTCGCACACCAGACAGTAACTCGCTCACAGTTAAGTGGCTTCTGGTGAAACTCACGTGGATTTACACCACACCAATAACGCATGTTTATCCTGTTGACGCAGCCGGAAATGTGGAAGTGAGCCTCGCCACTGAAAAAAACGACCGCATCTTCAGGCAGGTTGTCAACCAGCATTTTACATGCATTTTGACGGGCAACAAAATCGCGTTCAGTTAATTCTTGCACTACAGCAAATTTATATGAGAAACAAACTTGGGAAATTTCCCCTTCAGATGCACCCCCTCTCGCCCTTCTACCCGACCAACTAACCGCACAGGAATTTTTTCAAATAAGTAAGTTTCTGTGGCGCACCCTGTGGAAAGCTAACCTCCCAACGGTGATGTTTAGCTCGTGATAATTTTTCGATTTTGCCTTCGTTGGCGAGCATTTTTCTCTTTTCCCTCATTCGTGATTTAAACAGCAAAATTGTGCTTTAATTCACAGTGTACCAGAGATTTCTTCTAAAATACTGAACAGATTTGAACGGCACTGCATATAGAAACCTAACCTCCCAACGGTGATTTTTAGCTCGTGACAATTTTTTCGATTTTGCCTTCGTTTGCGTGTTATACGGCTATACGGATAAACAACTGGCATTTCTCAGGCCGATTTTTGAACTTGCATTGACCAAGGGCCAAATACGTAAAGCCGTATAACTCGCAAACGAAGGCAAAATCGAAAAATTGTCACGAGCTAAACATCACCGTTGGGAGGTTAGGTTTCTGTATGCAAAATTTCGTTCAAATCTGTTCAGCATTTTATAAGAAATCTCTGGTACACTGTGAATTAAAGCACAATAATTTGCTGTTTAAATCACGAATGGGGGGAAAAGAGAAAAATACTCGCCAACGAAGGCAAAATAGAAAAAATTGTCGCGAGCCAAACATCACCGTTGGGAGGTTAGGTTTCTATATGCAAAGTTTCGTTCAAATCTGTTCAGTATTGTAGAAAAAATCTCTGGTACACTGCAAATTTCGGCACGTTTCGTCATCTAACTCACGAATGAAGGCGATATTAAAAAAATTGTCACGAGTCATTTGTTAAATCAACAATAGAGAGCTGTTATAAATTAAAAAAAAAAAAAATTTACATGCAATCAAATAAGATGAGTACGCTTGATGTCACAAGTTTTAATCAAATCAAGTACGTTTTCTTTTCAGTCTTTGAATTAATATCGCGCTAATGAAATTAGTATAGTCGCAAAGTTTAAGCCCCGTCTACACGTTCAAACTTATCGTCAGTCTTGCATGTCATGCCAGGTTTGACCGGTTTTGACGGAAGACTGAAGAGCGTCCACATGCTCAAACTTTTCTTCAGTTTTTAGTGCATTAGCGGCAATGGAGGAGCTAGTGCTGCTCGCTGCAGTGATCGGCACTGATCGCAGTTTTGCCACCATAATTAGGTTATAGCGATGCAAACGTACGCGGTGGTCCCGAAAATGGGTTTAAAAAATACCACAATGAGGGTTGATAGACAGCATCCCTACCAGCACCAGACAGCATTGACGACTTCATTTTGGCACATTCTTTTCGATAAAGAGTTTATTTTCTTCGTTACAAAGTCTCTGTTTGCTGTATGATCAACTTCTTTGAACTCAGCGATCAATGCCGCATAGGTAAGTGCTCTATTGTTCTTAACTTCTTGTCACTGTAGCTTTTTGATCGAATTTACCATAAACATGGGAAACTACGATATAACTCCATAAATTCACCAAAATAAATCGTGAAACCAGTGTCGGATATATCATGCATGGGATATGAAAAACTAGAGCTAGCGAGGAACAATGTCACAGCTCTCATCATCAATATAAACTGAGATTGAGTAAAAGTTTGACCAATTAGTCGGTTGCGCGTCCACACGCTCAAACTTATCGTCAGTCTTGCATGAACCCAAAGGTCTCGCCCGTCCGTCTTTTCCAGGTTTGTCAAACCTCAAACTCCGCTCACCCGTCATGCAAGACGTCAAACTTTGAGCGTCCACACGTTCCGTCTTGTCGTCAAATCTGGCATGACATGCAAGACTGACGATAAGTTTGAGCGTGTGGACGGGGCTTTAGAAAGAATAATAATTTGACAGAATGAACCAGGAGGATACTTGAGGTTTGTATGAATCCGATTATCCGAATGTTGTTTTTATGCCGTACAATTCAAATTCGCTTCGACAGTGATTTTACTGAGAGGTCTTTCTGAGTTTTTAAACTAAGTCTAAAAAAGAATTAAGTTAACATTAGGTTTTGACTCTACTGATCGCTTTTTGGTTTGCCCGCGGGCTTGTCCTCGCTCGAACCCAAACCGAATGCCGCTCTTCGGGGCCTCTTGGCTCCTTGCGTCCAGCGTGGCAGCGTCTTCCCACTACTTCAGTGATAATATGGATGTGAGGGTTGGAGGTGCGCTGTGTCTGTTGCTCCGGCCAGGGTTGTTGCAGTGGACTTCAGAGTGAACAGCAACGTAAAAGAAAATAGGATTTTATAATTATTGATGATATTCCTCTCTTCAAAGTAGAAAAGTAAGCAGTGTTGTGTTTCTATATATTCATTAGTTGAATCCTACAAATAGTGACGACGTGTGACCAAAATACCAAATCTACTATACCTAGGCTATGCTAACTAAATCATTTGTGATTAAGTTAGGCTTAGTTTACAGCTTAAATCTAGAGTCTAGACTTCGGTAGTTTGACTCTTGAGCTAAAATTAATCAGCATGTGATCATAAATTCATAATCCCTTAATCTTACATGCCTTCTCGTTAGGTATAATGATTTAAACTTGGAAATAATTTTCATAAATGTGAATTTTGCTTTATTTAAAGATGAAAAAATTGCTGGCAAGTGGCAAGGTACCTAGGTATATCCCCGGACCCCAGGTTTATTTTTGAGACTGAAGTCTAAAACGCGAAGCATTTAGCATTGCAGCTTCATGAACACACGTAAAGTTCTCGCAAGTCGGTCGGACTAGCCTACTAGGCCCTATAGAAAGAAGGGAAGTCAGGATTATTAACTTCACCTAATTTTGGTATTTTTAATGTCCAAAACTCCAGTATTTATAGTATTGAGATTGAAGAACAGAAGAAGCTCGGTATGTTTTGGCTCGCCTAATACCACGGTCCACGATCCTGTAATAGGGTTTGATTTACATTACGAAGTTTTTACTTCTTATTACGCATAAAGTGTAATGCCAGTATTTATTTGGTTAAGAAAAACGATAAATGTCATTGAAGGACATACACGTATCACGCAACGGCTTGTTTTTGTGGTAACTTGTCATGCCGCGAATTCCGATGCATGCGCTTTCAAAGAATTGCACTTAATGCACTAGGTATGCTTACTCCTTTACTTCTTTCGACAAAGCTTTTAGGGACGATGAATCGAGATGTGTGATTTGTAGACTGACTGATATTTATTAAAATTTGCTTACGTTTTCAACTAAGATCAGCCATACTTATGTAATGAATGACATACCGCAAAATTCGACTGTTACATTTATTATTTTAAAAAATTTACGAGTTTGAGCTTACTAGTACGAAAAAAAAAATTAATATTACTCTCAGCTCGGGTTCGAAAGAATTGATTCAATGATTGTTGTGACTCGTGAACATGCCACAGCTAGAATTAAGTTTGAGGACAATGCAGATTGCAGAACATGGTATTGATGGTAATGCCAAATTGCCAATGGTATTGACCTTAGTGTCTGAACGCGACCGGTGTTGAATCCGTCTTAATTAAAAGAGCTTTTGCATCGACGTTCCTCTTTCAAGTTTTTATTTAAAAGCACAGCGCGCGCAATAATGACTGCTGTCTTTCCATGACCGGATGACCCGCTATAGCGGTGCGTTGCCTGGCCGTGAGCCGTCGTTTGACTACGGCTACGCGGTTTCCGTACACTCTTTATTTCTGCAGGATTTACGTACCATATGTTTCATTCTGTTTCCCTAGTGTGTTGTCTGCGATGTTTCCCTAGTGTGTTGTTCAGTTGCTGCCTGTCTCATTTTAATTTTTAGCCCATTTTTTTTATTTAGGAGAAAAGTTAACAACTATCTAGAGTTTTAAGGTACGTATTTAGTATTATTTACCGCGAACTAAGCAGTCAGTCTAACGGCGAGTTTGTAATTTTCCTCGGTTATTTGCCTTTAATCTACTCTGACAAATATCAATTGTGTATTAGCTAAAACATTATGGCGTTCATGTCCATTGTACCTTACAATGCTTCATACCATTCAATCCGGATGCTACAAAGGAAAAGTCAAATTTGGTCCCTTCCATCCGTAAAATTACTTACGCTGATTTACGCTTCAGTCGTCTTTTTTGGTTAGTGAATGGTGTTTTTGGTATTGATTATAAAACGCTTGGCATTTCATCTCTTTTCGGTATTGATCGTGAAACGCATTGGTATTTCCCTGCACATCATGGCTAAGCGTACGCACGATCGCGTTTCCATAGCGAGCCTCTCTCAACTTCTCCCGCAGCGCCGACGTCTCACAGGCAATTCTCGAATCGTACGCCTCCTGAATTGCTGATTAATATCCTGCTGGACTCCCTTTATTCGGAATATCCTCGATTTCGTTTTTTTCTCACGGTCTTATTTATCGTTAGTGGTGGTCTATTTTAAGTTTAAAGCCTACGTGCGTCCACTGTACGTATATTTTTGAGCGATTTGGCACGTTTGAAAAAATAAACTTGACTAATAATTAGGTGCATGAAATACGAATGGAATCAGGCACTGCACGCATATAAAATCTCGTAAATAGTATAGGAATAATTCCAAATCGTAAATTGTGGGAATGCATTTTCAACAGATTTCGTAGTTTATTGTATTGTAGTTTTAATTTCTTAGTTTATTCTATTGCTTGAATTATCAAACGAGTGTATCTCTATCCATAATGTTTGGCTATATCTAGAAACGTCTAGCGGCTTGTGAATTCTCTCAAGTTTGCTGTGTTCAGCCAATTTCTTATACACGTCAGCTTTCAGCGCCTCAGTTTTAGGATTTAGCCGGCGATCCCCGCGGCTATTGAGATAAGAGAGCCGCCCATGCCGCTCCGAGCGCGAGCGCTGCCTGGTGCGGCGATCCTCCTCTGGCACCTCATGTTGCCTCCTGTCACCTAGCTCCTGTCACCTAGCTCCTGTCACCTAGCTCCTGTCACCTAGCTCCTCCTGTCACCTAGCTCCTCCTGTCACCTAGCTCCTCCTGTCACCTAGCTCCTCCTGTCNCTGTTACCTCCCTTTACTGCCTCCTCTTACCTACTTCGGTTATTTCTGTTACCTCCCTTTACTGCCTCCTCTTACCTACTTCGGTTATTTCTGTTACCTCCCTTTACTGCCTCCTCTTACCTACTTCGGTTATTTCTGTTACCTCCCTTTACTGCCTCCTCTTACCTACTTCGGTTATTTCTGTTACCTCCCTTTACTGCCTCCTCTTACCTACTTCGGTTATTTCTGTTACCTCCCTTTACTGCCTCCTCTTACCTACTTCGGTTATTTCTGTTACCTCCCTTTACTGCCTCCTCTTACCTACTTCGGTTATTTCTGTTACCTCCCTTTACTGCCTCCTCTTACCTACTTCGGTTATTTCTGTTACCTCCCTTTACTGCCTCCTCTTACCTACTTCGGTTATTTCTGTTACCTCCCTTTACTGCCTCCTCTTACCTACTTCGGTTATTTCTGTTACCTCCCTTTACTGCCTTCTCTTACCTACTTCGGTTATTTCTGTTACCTCCCTTTACTGCCTCCTCTTACCTACTTCGGTTATTTCTGTTACCTCCCTTTACTGCCTCCTCTTACCTACTTCGGTTATTTCTGTTACCTCCCTTTACTGCCTTCTCTTACCTACTTCGGTTATTTCTGTTACCTCCCTTTACTGCCTTCTCTTAGTCTTACCTACTTCGGTTACTCTCTGTTACATTCTTATGTTCCTTTGCTCAGCATCGAGTGAAGAGGCATGGACAAGTATTTATGCATTTTTCCTGTCTGACAAAAATGGAGGTGAAATAATTACGAAATTTCCTCCTTGTTTTATAAAAATGACCTATAATAATGAGATTCCATTACTAAGATTTTGTTTTGCTCTTATTTCTTAAAAGTTATGTTTTTGTGCAGTATATATTTACGGGAATGCCAACGAAAGTCAGCTCATTATGAGGTCCTGAATGAAATCTGCCTTCCCGTCTAGCGACAAGCCTCCTGTCTGTGCTACTCGAGGTCAAAATCGTTTTGCTTTGTTACTGAGAGAACTTCTCTTCCAACAGGTCTGAGACAATTTCGTTTCAGTCTTGCATGATTGGTGCTTATATTGGCATAATTGGTGCTTATATATATAACTGTTTTGTGAAATTTCTGGACTGCAAAATGTTTCCTTCGAACCGGATTTGAACCAGTGACCTATGGATAGCCGTATTCCACTACAGTCCACCGCTCTACCAACTGAGCTATCGAAGGATGCATAATAGGGAATTGTTTATTTATATATTTTCTTTAGCAGGTCTTGGCGTTACCTGGGATCTATTATCCCTGAAATTCCGTTATCCCGAATCCCGTAATATTAATGAAGCGGCTTTATGCTACTTAATAAAACACGTCCAATAACGCATTTTTGTGTAGTTCAATAAAACACGTCCAATAACGCATTGAACTTTCTTTGTGTTTTTCCAAAGTATAAAATTTATTTTCTTCAAAACAAATTTACATGTAGCAACTAAAAATATCATATTTAAATTTTTGTTACAATTCTCTCCACACAGTTTTGCAATGCCTTGAAATTGTCTGGCTACGAATAAATTTCAAGGTCCATGTAATATATCGCTAGGATAAGTATTGTAGATGCGCGCTCGAACTGCCCTTTGTATACGTTGCAAGGCTTCAAACGCTTATATATGTAGCGCCGAAATCGCGGAATTGCGAATTCCATGGAATCGGGTGCCAGTTTGCTGAATCTGTAGAATCAGCATTTCTATACTATAGGAATTTTGGGTTAGGTCAGTTGGCCAATTTATTTTTTTAAATATTTAAATAGGAAGGAACTTGACCGAACTTGATCTAACCATTCTTACTCTTACTGAAACGTCCGATTTTCTGAATCAGCAACGAAACGCTGATTTTACAGATTCGGCAAACTGGCTGCCGATTTCATAGAATCGGCAATTCTGCGATTTCGGCGCGATATATACATACCCACAAACACACTTTGACAAATATATGTAAGACCTTTAATTATTATATTCCAAAAAAATCACCCTTCATTAATATGTGTCTAAGCTCTTCATTCATATCAATAGTAGATAGGTAATCTATTCGTTGTGAGTTTTATAACACATCGATTTCAGTTTCATAATCCCATTTTCTATCAATGGTTTTTGTGTTTTTCAAAGAATCAAAAAATATCGATTAGAAATGCAGCTATATTTCATCATTTAATAAACTTATTAATTTTAAAACGTCTTGAAAATATCTTTGTCGGTAAAAAACATTTTATGAGACTAGTGTACGTGGCTCGACAATTTCCCGTGCACTTTTTTT